GCAGCAAGGGATCCAACCAGACAGAGTAAATTTCATGACCATCTTGGGAGCCTGTACGATTGGCTCTCACGGAAGAACTCGCAAGTTAGTGCACCAATGCGTCGAAGAGAGTGGACTGGGAGGCTCGCCCCTGGTGCAAACATCCCTGGTGAACATGTATGCCAAAGCTGGGGAGCTCGATGTAGCAGAGGTGATCCTGCAAGAGATGGACGAGCAGCAGATAACCGCATGGAACGTCCTCATCAATGGCTACGCACTACACGGGCGAAGCAGGGAAGCTCTGGAAGCTTACCAAAAGCTCCAGCTCGAAGCCATCCCAGTGGACAAGGTTACCTTCATCAGCGTCCTCAACGCATGCACAAGCTCAACATCTCTGGCCGAAGGCAAGATGATCCATTCCAACGCTGTGGAGTGTGGCCTCGACTCCGACGTGATCGTGAAGAACGCTCTGACCAACATGTACTCAAAGTGCGGCAGCATGGAGAACGCTCGCAGGATCTTCGACAGTATGCCCATCCGCAGCGCGGTGTCCTGGAACGGCATGCTCCAAGCCTACGCTCAACACGGAGAGTCCGAGGAGGTGCTCAAGCTTATCAGAAAAATGGAACAGGAGGGCGTGAAGCTCAACGGAATAACTTTCGTCAGTGTTCTCTCGTCGTGCAGCCACGCCGGTTTGATCGCAGAAGGCTGCCAATACTTCCACTCTCTGGGCCACGACAGGGGGATCGAAGTAAAGACCGAGCACTACGGCTGCCTCGTAGATCTTCTGGGAAGAGCAGGGAAGCTCCAGGAGGCCGAGAAGTATATCAGCAAAATGCCGTTGGAGCCAGGGATAGTTACTTGGGCTAGCCTTCTCGGAGCTTGCAGAGTTCAAAAAGATCTCGACCGGGGGAAGCTCGCTGCAGGGAAGCTCCTCGAGCTGGATCCAGGCAACTCCTCGGCCAGCGTGGTTCTCTCCAACATCTACTCGGAGCGCGGAGACTGGAAGAACGCTGCGAAGCTGAGAAGAGCCATGGCCAGCAGGCGAGTGAAGAAGGTCCCGGGCATCAGCTCGATCCAGGTGAAGAACAAAGTTCACGAGTTTCGAGTCCGGGACACGAGCCATCCTCGAGCAGCGGAGATTTACGACAAAGTGGAGGAGCTGTGCTTTGCGATGAGGGAGGCAGGCTACGTCCCAGACACAAAGATGGTGCTGCACGACGTGGACGAGGAGCAAAAGGAGAGCTTGCTGGCTTACCACAGCGAGAAGCTGGCAATCGCGTTTGGGTTGATAAGCACTCCGGAGACGAGCTCGCTACACATCTTCAAGAACTTGAGAGTGTGCGAGGACTGCCACACGGCGACCAAGTTTATCTCCAAGATCACCGGGCGAGAGATCGTCGTCCGCGACAACCACAGGTTCCACCACTTCAGGGATGGCTCCTGCTCGTGCAAAGATTACTGGTAAAACGAAATGAATAATTTTAAATACTAATCTAATTTAAACTTTATTATAAATTATATAATTAATTTAAGATTTATCTCTTCAGTCTCTAACTTATCTCATTTTATTAAGTTTATAAAATATCACTAATGTAAAAACTTTCTAAACTAATTTTTTTCATTTTTTTGTGAAAGCTCAATCTAACACAATTAACAAAAAAAAGTTTTTGATGAAAAAGTCTTATAGAAAAGCTCAGTTTATAGTAAAACCAAAATTGCATTAAGTTAAATGTGATATGGATGTTATAAAAGAAAACCATGTTTGCTTTCCAGACTTAAGATTTGATTTGATTTGATTTGATTTAATTTAGCAACTTCACTTTATTTGATTTGAACTAGTTTGGCTCAAGATTTTGTTACTATAAACCAAGTTTAATATAACTACTTAATTATATAAAAAAAGCTGTGTATATTTTTTTTTGTTGCTTGGCTACTTTGTTGTATGGGGTGAGAGCTTTGGAAAATCTCTAATTATATGTCTTGCCAGAGGAGGCTAAACTTCCTCACAATACTGATATGCCTTCCTTTTTGCCACCATGGTGGAAAAAGACTGTGAACTTACCATCAAACTTCTACACCATGGCTTGAGAAGCAAAAACGCTTGTAGCTACTTTCTTCTTTATCAATTTCTTAAACACCAATGATCTTCATCAAGCTAAGAGATGCACTCAACCAAGTAGAAACCACTGACCATCAAACACCAAAATTTTGTGTTGAGTATGTCATGAACATGCCAGCCCCGCTCTAGGAAAAGTTCCCACCTTGGTAACAAAAAAAAGAAAAAAACTTTCTCACCTCACAAAGATGGCCTGAGACCACAAAGGCAGCACATTAGGTTCACGCTAGAGGAAATATTACCTGGTAATTTGCACAAAATTGCAAAAACTGCCCCAAGGGCAGGAAAGCAATAAGGATGCAAGAACATATGAGTACCCTGGGGGATTTATAGAAACTCGAGAATCATTTACCTAAACCACCACCTTTTATAGTCAGTTGTGTGGTATTTGTCAAAGCTATGGCAGCAATTTTGCAGCCAGGATACCCCTTGCAATCACAATGTTTTGAAAAGGAGATGACATGCACTAGCATTTGCATCATAACCGAGCAAAATATTGCCACAGAGTTGCCGCCTACGCAAAAGCTGCATTGAACAGGTATTATAGGTTTTCTCAATGCGCCTCACCACTTACAAGTGAAGCCCGGCCCATCTACTTTCAAGAATCCCTCTCCGAGATCAATGCCCTGGTTGAGTGCAAGGGACCTCAGTCACAGCGTGAAGGCCATCCTGAAGACTCTTGTAAATATTCATCAAAAGAGGAGTGGATTACCTGGAGAGGGTGAGAGACCACGGTAGATATAGCCACGGATTGCGCAGTGGTTGTTATTCTGATACCCAAATGCCGCATTCAAAACACTTAAAAGATGGCATTTTATGTTCTACTATGCATGTTTTGAATCCACTACCATTGAACGAAATAAAAAACGCAAATATGTATAAAAAGTGAAAAAATATAGAAACCGGAAGCAAACCCATTCGTTAGACAGCATGACAAATTGAATACGAATTGCTATAGAATAATTTTAGAAGAGATCGAGCAGTGCAGTTCCAGGAGATATGTTCAACAATACCAAACTATTTATGTTTGTCACCTGACATCATCCAGAATAAATTGACACACAAAGTTTGAGAATGAAACGTTCTTTCTTAAGCCAGAGACGCGTTTGACTTTTCCAAAGTGGCCCATCTTTTCTGAAGCAAATTTGCCTCTTTCAGGGATATTCCAACAAAATACGAAATTCCAAAGAAAGAATATGTTTCTCTCTATTTGCCGGCCTGAAAGTACAGTCTAGAGGGCCGGAACAAGAGAAAAAATAAAACAAATTCATACGCTCTCGTGCACGACCAAAGTCAAGAATCATTGCTGACTGGAACACGCTCTTTGACTTTCTCCTTAGTGAGCGATTGCGTTTACACGGGCTTGGGGACGTTCCTGCATGTTGCAATCGCCTTTGCTTGGGAGCGTCGTGATGGTAGGGCCGGAGTCCTATTGGCATCTGGTCCAGAACAATGGCACTTTGTTCGAAACTTTGCATCCGCCTTTATATTTTTAAGGACCGTTCTGGGGACCCAGACTCCACAGAAGCAAATCACTCGAGGAGGAAACAGCAACTCTATATTTTTTCCTTTTCTTGCGTCTCAAACCAGGTGTAGATTCGAGACGAGGAGAGATGGAGAGAACCAATCTCATACTATTGCTCTTCGTTTTTGCACAAGCAATGATCATCGCACAAGCAGGTAAATAGTTTTCAAACTAAATCGATCGGTCATATATTGCTTTCTTTTCTTCTAGACGAGGAGTATGACTACTCGAATGGGACTCGAGGCCAGGCAAACTGGGGAAACTTGAGACAAGAATGGAGGGCTTGCAGCAGCGGCAGAATGCAATCTCCGGTCGACATTCAATCCAAGGAGCTCCAGCCAGTGTGCTCTTTGAAGTTGCTCCAGACGAGATACAAACCAACGAATGCCACTCTCACCAATCTCGACCACGACATAGCAGTATGTATCTCCTGAGTCCATCTCATCTCCGAAAGATCTCCATCTAATCATGGCTCGGGCCCCTCGTTTTTCTATTCTCTGTTTGCGCAATAGCTCGAGTTTGGCGATGCTTCATCGGGATCGCTCATCATCGATGGCACCTTGTACAGTGTGAGCGAGTATCACATCCATGCTCCCAGCGAGCACACTGTGAATGGGAAGCACCTCGCAGTCGAGGGGCATCTTGTCCACAGGAGTGAAGACAACAGGCTTGCAGTCGTCGCAGTCATGTACACGATTGGATCCGAGGACGACCCTTTTATCGATCAGGTAAACAGAGATCTGCGTGATTTCTTCGAGTTTTATTCACTGTCTTTTTGGAAAGGTTGAGCATTTTCTACCTGAGCTGAGTGGCGAGCAAGATGTTCAAGTGGTGGATCCCTCGCTGCTCAATGTTGGAGGCAAGCGATTCTTCAGATATGTTGGATCACTGACATCACCGCCCTGCACCGAGCAAGTGACATGGAGCGTGTTGAGAAGAGTAAGCAAAATAATTTCCTTAATCTTTAGTTTCGTTCCCTCTGACCTTGGTTCTGATGTTGCAGCCACGAACGATCTCGAAAACCCAGTACCGGCTTTTGGTGAATGCCCTCAATGTAAGAACTAATTCACGCGCTAAAAAACAGCTTCTAACATTCTGTGTACAGGGTGATAACAACAGATCGATACAAGGATTGTTTGGAAGAAGAATAAGCTATTATAAATAGAAGATTCGTTAGAGTCCTTTTAGGGCACACATTTTTTTAACCTACCAGCTTAGGCAAATCTTTCTACTCTTAATTCTTTACCCTTTCCTTTTTTAAGATTATGCTGCACTAATGTTTTTGGTTTGCTTAAGCAAATTATAGGATATTTTTAGAATACAATCTTGTGTATAAATATGTTTATCATCACTAATATATTTTACTGCACAACGCACTAAATTAAGTTTTCGAAATTGATATATACTGCAAAACAGTTTTAAGGTTACCCAAAAGCCCTAAACCCTTGTGTTTTAAAGATGGTCAAATTTTTTAGATCATTGGATGGAGCATGGAAGATGGAGATTTCTTGTCAAATGTCTTTGAGATTGTCTGCCACCCGGTTGAGCGCCACGGCCAGATTGGCGAGCTGCGCCGCCAGCTCCCTGCGATCCCTCGACTCGATCTGGAGCCTCTCCCTCTCAAACTGGAGCGCCTCCCTGTGCCGCGCCTCGCGCTTCTCCTCCATGCTCGCCACCGCCGCCATGTACGTGCTCGTCAGCTTCCCAATCGCCGCCACCACGTCGCTCGCCGACTGCTGCCTCTTCTTCTTCCCGCTCGACCCCGGCGCCAGCTCGTGGTGGTGATCGTGATCGCCCTTGCCCGCGCGCGTCGACTGCGCGCTGGTGCTGAGATGGTCCAGCGCCTGCGCCGGCGGCGGCGGCGACACGATGGCCAGCCGCCCCGAGAGGAAAGAGTCGAGGCGATCGAAGAGATCCTTGTCGAAGTAGCAGGGCAGCGATGGATCCTCCTTGCGCCGCTCCTCGATCGACATGGCGAAGTAGTTTGGCCTGCCGCTCTTCTTGAGCACGCCCTTGATCGTCTTGTAGTCGGAGAGGAGATTGTCCCACTTGCCCTTGCACTGGGCGACGTCGCGATCGTCGATCCCGTTGCGCTTCATGTGATCCACCACGCGCTTCCACTTCTCGCCCGAGCTGATCATCACCTTGTCCCGCGACAGGCAGCTCGCGCCGCTCGTGTCGATCGTCGCCTCCGATTCCATCTTCTTGCCCTCGATCAGGAGCAGCACCTCGCTGTGCGTCCAGTTGCGATTCCTCTTCCTCTTCCCGGACAGCTGGTCGCCGGCATTCCTCGCGGCGCCACCGCCGACGCCGCCATAGCCCTTGTGAGCGGCAGCGTCCCCGACGATCACCTCCGAGCCCCCGAATCCGGCCTGCGATGCCTCTACCAGCTCCACCAGCGGCGATGCCATCGTAATCTCGCCCTACAGCTCCATGGAGTCTCCCGAGCTCTCTTCTCACCTGGCTCGATCCATCGCTCTTGCCCGCTCGCGGGAGCCCTAAACTCCGGCTGACGTGGCGCTCTGGACGGCCGGGGTGGATTCTCTCGAAGCAAGGGCTCGGATTGAATAGGGTTTGAGGGCTTGCTCTTCGTTGTTTGTGCTCGGTGGAGGAAGGCGCGCATGGCATGGGACCTAGCGCTGTGGATTCTCTCGTTTCTTGCGGTCGCAGCGGCGCTGGGGATCATCGTCTACCAGGTGAGCTCTCTTCCTCCTCGGAATCTCTTCGTCAGTGATGAGAAGGCAAAAATTCATTCTCGGCGAGTCCTTTGGACAAATGAGCTGGAGTAATCGCTAATCTTCTCTCTGAGACGCTTCTTGCCACTGATGATCCACTGTAGCGTGTCATATGAGTTCTTCTTTAGGACAGTGACTATAGCACAGTCTTTGAATCTGAGGCTTCAAAAGGGATTTTTTTTTTCTTCTCTTCTGATGATGTGTTTTTTTTTTGTCCTTCTCTCGCAGCTGCTATGTCTCTCCGATCTCGAATTCGATTTTATAAATCCCTTTGATTCTTCATCGCGTATCAACCGGTTTGTTCTTCCTGAATTTGCTATCCAGGGAGTGCTGAGCGCGATCTACCTTATTTTCGGCTACTGGCTCATGTTCTTGCTAAACGCCCCGCTCTTATATTATAACATAAGATTGTAAGTTGCCATGTTTTTCATGTTTCCCTGGCTCTGATGTTAACGTGAATTTCTTTTTTTTTATCCTCAGATACATGAGCAAGAGGCACCTTGTAGATGTCACGGAGATCTTCAATCAGCTTGAACCCGAGAAGAAGATACGCTTCTACAAGCTCGGCTTTTACCTTTCTTTGTTGTGCATCGTCATATACAGGTAAGCATAGCTCCGTGTTTATTTCTTAAAAGTTGGATTACTTTCTTGTACAGGATGCTGTTGAGTGTGATTTAAGGATTTTTGTTGCTGCTCTGTAGGCTGGTGGTTTCCTCGATGGAGGTCATTCTCGAGTCGGGCATTGCATCCATGGCGGAGATTTAATTGTGAGAATTCAGTTGTTCCACTCTTTAGTGCTGAACAAATTTTCGTCCACGCAGGATTTTAGTTTCTCAAACGTGTAGAGTGAGGTACAAATAGATGGTAATTTTTGATGTGATCTAATGACTTCTATGTGCAGGAAAGAAAAGTATTTTCTTTGTGAATATTGTAGTCTATCTTCGGCTATAATATATGTACGCATTGCGTCAAAAATGAAGTGTCGCTTCTCATTGGGTACGCGGCGAATAAATACCGCTTCCTCAAAAATTCGTGGGACCAAATGTTTTCAGAAAACAGCTCCGCTCCATCTATGCCCGTGCCTTGTCGACAAATTTCTATTTGTCGGGTAATCACATTTTTAATTTTTTTTTCCCTCTCTTTTGCGGCTTGTTGTGGAATCCGTCTCATGGTATTATATATTTGCAGATGCGGCGGGACGAGAGCTCACTTCGAATGGGGTTTCTTTCCTTGCTGCGATCAAGGAAGTCAGGTTTCGTTCTGGAAGGTGATGAATCAAGCTCGGCACGCAGTAGTGGAAGTGTCGCTCCTTCAACAGAGTTAGAGGGTGCTGCTTATGTCTGCTCCGCTTGCAAGACTCGCAGTTTTAGGAGCTCGGGAAGGCCACTGAAGGTTTTCTTTTCTGACGAGCTCAAGGCAGCTACCAACGACTTTGGGTTTTGCAACTACATGGCAGACGCAGAGGGTGGTCATGTATTTAGAGGAGTTTTAGAAGGAGGCGAGGTGGTTGCCGTGAGAGTTATATCGGACGCATCAGTCTTTCAATCTCGCAAGCAGCTCTTGGGCCGCATTCGGTCGCCTAATATTGTGAGACTGGTAGGCTACTGCGACGAAGGCGACGACAGGAAATTTCTTGTTTATGACTTCATCTGCAACGGCTCTTTGGAGTGGCATCTAACAGGTAGCGAATTTTTTCCTTTTCATCTTTACGTCGTCGTTGTTCTCTAACCGTGACCTTGTGTAGTTCTCACTCGGAATGCCATGGGTTGGTCTATAAGGAAGTCAATTGCCGTGGGAATAGCCAAAGGTTTGCTTTACTTACACAGCTACTCAATCGTACACAGGAACTTGCGATCTAGGAACGTTCTCTTGACTCATGATTATACACCAGTTGTAAGTAAGCTATGTTTGTAGTTTCAGTGCCTAAAACATTTGCACAGATTACAGGGATGGGCTATGCAAAGCATAAAACTCAACCAGCTTTTCCAAGTCCTCCTTGTGTCACTGGGTAAGTTTTGTATTTATCTCAGACGCCATTGCTCATTTTCACGTTGATAGCTACTCTGCTCCAGAACATTTCCGGGGGCATGCAGTGGACGAGAAGAACGATATCTTTTCCTATGGTGTCATACTGCTGGAACTCATCACTTCTCGAAAGGCCATGGAGGATTCAAGCCAACGCCTTCTGACAGAATGGGTAAAATGCTGCCTCGTGGTGTTCGTCTATTGACATAGAGTTGTTTTATAGGCGTCCCCGCTGCTCCGAGACTTTGACCGCCAAAAGCTCGTCGATCCCGAGCTTGGCTGCGACGATAACAACACCTACGAGCTTGTCACTATGATGAGCATTGCGTCGCTCTGCTTGAACGAAGATCCACTGGAAAGGCCAAGCGCAAGCAAGGTAAACGTGCGAGAACTTGAGTGTCTCATCGCCCTTTTAAATATCGTTCCAGATTTTGAGCCTGCTAGAAGAGGATTGTGACGGGGAGGTTTTCAGCTCCGACGATGACTTGTCTACTCTGTCGCAAGCTTCGTCGTCGCTAACACATCGAGCGGAGAAAAAGGTGACTTGGAATGCTTGCTCTCCAGTAAGAAGAGGTCCTTCTCGTCGCCTCTCATACAATGTCATGCTATCTTAAAAAAAACTATGGTTCTTCTACTAAAGAAATTCAATCCTTTTCGTTGCCTAGGGGAAGGAAAAGTTATATTAGGAAATATAATATCCCGTTAATAATCATACTCCTAACGAAATTCTATTCCCGTGAGGATAGCCATTGTTTCCTTTCTGTCCTCTAAAGAGAATGAAAAATTATACTCGAACATAATTCAATGCCATCTCGAAGTTTCGTAAAATTTCAAACTGATACTACTTGATTTCCTACGATCTCACCATATTCAAAACCGTTGATTGTTCCGATTGATATTAGAAAAGTATTTGCGCCAAGAAAAACATCACCGTGGTGACAAGAGGAGAGAAATCTGGCAAAAAGGACAAAACAAAAGAAAAAAGAAACCAATACATTTTAATTACTTTTTCCATTCTAAAAAGCTTACCAGATCGACCAGCACTGTTCTGCTCGAGCAAAGCTGCAAACACACAAAAAGTTAGGCCTGGAAAAAGAAAGAACCAAAAAGGAGAGGATAAACATGGAAGTGAAAAAGCGAAGGAACACACTATCACCTACAAGCAAGGAATGGCAGGCAGAGAAAAGAGAGGAGAGATTACTAGGACAGGCACTGGTGTTGGAGTCGAGCTTGCAATGCGTGGGAAGCATGACGGCGTTGGTGATATTGATCCCGGGAGTGGAAGTTACACCGCCAGTGGAGGAGAGGAGCTCGCACAGGCAAACGGGGCTGTGCTGATAGATGTAGTGGAGCCCCCGGCAGCACCTCGAGCCTGGAAGATCTCTCTTTCCCTCGATGTAAGTGATGCACGGCTGTATCCTGGCCAAGCGAGCTGTGCACTGCTTGTCCTCCCCAAGGACCAACTGTACCACCAGGAGCAGCAGCAACACTAGCATACTCACTCGCGCCGAGGAAGACAAAGGAGAAGCCATTCTCTTCCTTCCCCGAGCTCTGTCCTTGCGATCGAAAATGGAAATGAGACTCTACCTCGGCTCGGCTCGGCTTGAGCTTGAGCTTGAGCTGTGCTCCACCGCTTTTTGAGACTCGCTCCACCTCCTCCTCCTCGAAGGAAGAACTTTGAGGCACCTGAAAATCTGCTGCCTCTGCTCCTGAAACTGTGTTCTTGTTGCAGAGTAAAACTTGGTGTTTAATCGCTTGCCACTGCGGGAATTGAATGGAAACGTGTCAGGTAGCATTTAAGAAGACAACTACCACGCTGCACTAACTGCACCACCTTTGGCTGGCGTATATGCGATTCCCATATGTTTCTCGAAGAATTCAACTTTATCAATTTTTGGAGCTCGTCCTGTCTTTTTGTCCGCGTCAACAAATTCCGAATGATCATTAAATAATCAACGCTTTGAGCTGATCAACCTGGAAAGAAACCAAGTACAAGATGAAGTTTCCATTTATGTAACAGAGCAAAGAAACACCAGTCAGTGCACGCACCTCACTACAAAATAGCAATCGCTTTTGTCTGGTCAAGCCTGAATTATAAAGCACGTCCATCGATGAGAAACAAGAAATTCTATAACGGAGGAGCAACAAAACGAACCTCATTGTCCTCCTCCTCATCGCCTGCCGAATGGATCATGTTGGACAAAACTACGTAACCCGAGCAGTCGTTTGGATCCAGCTCCAGCAACCGTTCAGCTGCACGCTTGCCACACTCGACGTCTCCGTGAACGCTGCAAGCTCCCAGCAGAGCAACCCACAATCCCCGATCACTGTCCATGCTCCTGAGAAAGTTTTCTGCCTCCCTCAACCATCCAGCACGTCCTAGCAGCCCGACCACACAGCCACAGTGCTCCAACCCGGGAACCAGCTCGTCGTCCACGAGCATCGCGTAAAAGTTCTCACACCCATCGGCCAAGAGCCCCGCATGGCTGCAAGCCCAGAGAACACTGACGTAGGTGACTTCGTCGGGATCCACACCAGCTTGTTTCATCTTCCTGAATAGGTCCACGGCCATACTGCTGTCCCCGTGTTGCGCATAGGCATTGATTAGCGCGGTCCACGAGATGGAGTCCTGGTGGTCGAGGCTGTCAAACACTCGTTGCGCGTCTTGAAAGCTTCCACACTTCCCATACATGCTCACGATGGCGTTTCCAAACGAGCTCTGCAACGCAGCACCAGTCTCGGCGCTGCAAGCATGAACCATCCTCCCCTCGGCCAGCGAGCTCGTGTTCCCGCAAACTTCCAGCATGCAGAGAAGTGTCACGAAGTCAGCCCTCACGCCTTCCAGTTGCATCCTCAGAAACAGCTTCAGCGCCTCAACGTCTTGTCCATGCTGAGAGTAACCAGTGATTATCACAGTCCAGCTGACCACATTCCTGTGTTGCATCCTGCTGAAAACCTCCCTGGCCTTGTCCAACCTTCCACACTTTGCGTACATGTTGACTAGCGCATTCCCAACCTGAAGCTCGTTTTCAAACCCGGCTTCAACAAGGCACGAGTGAATCGCGTCCCCGGCCCTGAGATCATCACACGCGGTGAGGGTGGCAACGTAAGTCACGCTATCACTTCGGACTCCCTCCTGTTGCATGGAGTGAAAGATCTCCATGGCTTCCCTGTTATGCCCGTGTTGAGAATAGGCGGTAACCATCGCAGTCCAGGACACTGTACTCCGGGGACTCATCGCGTCAAACATTTGCCGGGCACTCCACGGACAGTGGCACTTGCTGTACATGGTCACTAAAGCCGTTGCCACGAAAGTGTCCGACTCGATGCCAAACTCCCGTATGCATGAATGGATCTTCTTCCCTTCCGAAAGTTCGTGAGAGCCACTTAAAACTCCCAAAACTACGATGAACGTGATCCTGTCAACTTTGGCGCCCTCCTGCTGCATCCTCCAAAAGAGCCGGAGACAGTACCTCGAGTGCATACGCCCGGCTTGGGCATAAGCTGAGATGAGAGCGTTCCAAGACACCGAGTTGTGCTGCGGCATAGCTGCAAAAGCCCGACTTGCTTCTTCCAAACTTCCACACCGCCCATACATTCGCACGATGTGGTTCCCCAAGATGAGGTTCTCTTGGAGACCTGCCTGAACTGCGAAACCATGAACTTTCCTCCCTTCGACCAGAGCGTTTGCGTTCCCACATGCCTGGAGAGCTCGAGCATATGGACCCGGATGAGATGGTAGATTATCCGGGTCCAAAGCATCCACCAGTCTCGTCAAACTGCTGCTTTCACTGGCAATTTGCTCCAACCGATCAAACAATCCCTTGAGCTGTTGCTGCTGTCCGGTCTTCTGGATTCTTGCCAAAGGAGCGGGAGTGACCACCACCGGACCACGAAGAACATCGCCCATCACAAGTCTTTTCGGAAGAACATCTCCGCGAGTTGGTCTCTCAGTTCCTGGCCCTGCTGCTCCTCTAAACTAGCACACTCGCCGTTGCCTGCCTGTAGATGGTGGTGTTGTTGGTGGTATCTTACAAGGCTGTCCTCGTCCAGCCTCAGTGTCTGGAGAATGCTCTCGACCGGGATCTCGTTCTTGTCCAGCAAAACATTGTGTAGGATGCAGCAGGCTGCGATGACTTTGGGAACAAACTTGACGTTGTGCTTCACGCACTTCGCCAGTATCTCGAACGTCTCCTTGAGAATCCCGAAGCTTTGTTCGATGTGGATCACCGCCCGAACATGCCTCCTGTTAAAACTCTCAGCCATCACAGGCGTTTCAGCCTCCTGGTAGCGGACCAGCAGCCACGGAAGAAGCGGGTACTTGTCACCACCCACAAGATAGTGCACCGAAGAGTTCTCAGACTGCGCCGCCGAGAGTAAGTTCGCTCCAGTTTTCAGTAGACCAGGACTGTGGGGATGCTGAGCATTGCAGTGTATATCCAGAAACCTGTACGAGGTGTCGCAAACAGCCTGGAGCGCGATCAAACAGCTTGGTACGTCTCCCGAAGCCATAACTTGAACATTCGTCGTACCAATCGCACCAACGCAATTCGGAAGCTCGCACTTGTCGACAAACCCAGCAGCCGTCTGCCTGAGCCTCTCGGGAAACCTCAGACAGCTTCCAAAGTGCTGGTTGATCGCCCTGACCACGTCAATGACGCAGCTCTGCGAGCTGCTCACACCGATTCCAAACTTGTCGCCTATGACGTGCAAGTCAGCCCCGCTGGTAAGCCGGTAGAGCGCGGCACCCAGCCTGCATGGAACCGGAATCGGCGACCTGAAGGTGGTGACTTTCTTGTTGAGCAGCGGCTTCAGCTGGTCGCAGATCCACAAGAACGTCTCCCGAGACATCTTGAGAGCGTTGAACCAGCTATCCCGGTCGTGCACCTCGAGCAGGAACTTATCAAACCAGGCTGGGTTTCTCGGCTTCACCCACCACCCAGCATCCGTGGAAAGCGCCAGAGAAGCCGACAGCATTGCACTTTGGAAGAAGAGCGCGTTGAGCTCGTCATCCTCTTCTTCCTGGCGTTTCTCTTCGTCCTGGTGACGAGCGAGACCGGTTTCCAGTCCAAACGACGCAGGACTTACGTTGATAATCTGCTCCACAGCACTCGCGGCAGAACAAGCTGTCGCAACAGCAAGCCTGAGCTTCTTCCGCCGGTCCATCTGTCCATATCAAAAACAACTTCGTATCACTACCACCAAAGGAGAAAATCGGTAGGAAAAAATCTCCCAGGTCGCACTGACAACCAGCAGGACAGATCGTCGTCACAAGAGTGAAAAGTCAAAAAACAAAGAGCTCGTGCGATGGCGAATTGAATAAGAAGGCGCCAATCATTCATGCGTCATGACCGAATCAAACAGTCGCAGACTTGCAGACTTGCAGATGTGAGCGCCGATCGATAGAATTAAGACCTCACGAACAAACAATCGCCATTTCACGAGCGATCGCTCGAGACAAAACAGTTTCACGACCAAAACTCGAGGGAAATATGCGAGAAGAATCCATGAAAATGCGCAGCTAAAATCTAGAGCGCTCTGACACCGCGTTCTTACCTTCGGATGCACGCCATCGAAGATGCAGCTCTCCTCCTCCCAATCCGCCATACCCTAGCACTGCGACTTCTTCTCCATCGCTACAAGCAAGCCAGCAGCCCTTAGGTCAAAATCTTTCACAAGGATTTTTTTTTTTTTTTTCTTCGTTTTAACATCACAATATCTGTACATCAGGGGAAGAGAATCGAAAAACATTCTCTGGTATTTTCTCTAAGCTCACTCTCTTCTAGCATCGATTCTCCACCGATCTTTCGCCGAGAAGAAAATGCGATGGCCGCCGCCGCGCGAGAAGATCACGAGTAGAGCATCGCGGTGGACAGATCGTAGGCAAATCCCTGCTTGGCCCGCGGGATGGGCGATCGGCACGTACTCCGGACGTCGTCCTCGTCCTCGAATTCCAAGCGCGGCCTCTTCTTGGCGGCGGCGGCGGCGGCGGCGGAGCTCTGCTGGATCTGGAGCAAGATCTCGCTGATGTTGCTGGGCACCGACTCCAGCTTCATGGGAGGAGGATTGATGATCCTGGGCTGCTGCAAAGAGCTCGGGGGAGTATTGGCAGCCTGGAACGATTGGGTGTTGAGGGATTGATCGTAGGCCCAGGGATTCACCTTGCTCATCATCACCATGGTCGTGTTGCCGGTATTGTGGAACTTATCGCCCAAGAAGGTCTGGAAGCCATAGCCGCCGCCGCCGCCGCCGCCACCATAGCCGCCGCTGGTAAGTGACGAGGATTGATGGTGGTAGTGGTCAAAGCTCTCGGAAGTTTGCTGCTGCTGGGACGAGGATTCGAAGAGTTCCTGCTGCTGAGATGGCGGAGGAGCTGACGATAATCCTCCTACGAACTGCGTGGCTAGCTGCGCCGACGAGGATGATCCGAAGGGTGGGATTTTGTAGAGGCGAGAGTTGTCGTCGATGTCGGGGAGAGATGCTAGAACGTCGTCGAGCTCCTCCTCTGGCGGCTCGGATTTCATGCTGCTCCTGGGCGTGGTGCTGCCGGATAGCATCGGCTTGAATGCTCCACTGCTCTTCTTGTAAATCCGGCACAGTACCCAGTCGTCGAGCTGGAAAAAAAATCGATGAGAAAAACTGGAAGAAATGACCTCACAAGACACGATCTCTCGAAAGAATCGATGATTCACCATGAAAACTCTAGAAGAAACGAGGATTTCGGCAAAGCATGGAGGATTTCACCACAAAGAATCCCAGAAAAGCAAGGATTTCATGGATTTCTTGAGAGATCGAGCCCGACGATTCAAGCAAGAAACGCGAATTTCACCAGGAAATCGAGGATTTCACCACAAAGAATGCAAGAAAGAAGCCATGACCGAGGCGATGGCGGAGATTCTTCTTACCCTGAGCGATCCTTTCTTGCGCATGGCCGGAATCGCTGCGGCGGCCTTGGCGCTGCTATCGGCGAGGCGGTACTCGTGCATGATCCAATTCGTCTTGGATCCCTTGGGCGCCTTGCCCTTGTAGAAGACGAGCGCCTTCTTCACCCCTACCTTCTTGCCCTTGCTAAGAATGGGCTTGTCCGTGCCGGTGGCCTTCCAATACCCGGATGCGGCAGCCCGGTTGGGGCGCGCGCCATTGGGGTACTTCCGGTCCCTGGGGCTAAAGAAGTACCACTCCCTCTCCCCAAACAGGGCCTTCTCCGGGAGCTCCCACGGATCAAACTTGTAGAGATCGATCTCGGCGATGATAGGGATCGCGAATGGCCGGCTCTCCGCCTTGATCGCCAGGTAGCTCACGACGAGCTCCTCGTCCGTGGGGTGGAATCGAAAGCCCGCGGGGAGATTGAGCTGCTCGGATGGAGGCGCTGTGCGCGGCTTGCCGCCGCTGTCCATAGATCGATCGAGCGAAATTGGATCGATGAGCTCCCGAGGAATGCCGAGCTTTCTAAGGCGATTGGATTGCGCTCGCCTCTCTTTCTTGACCGAATCTCGCTGGCTGGCGTGCGGATGGATGATCCCTTCCTCTTCTTCTCGATAGCTCCTTACGTGATCATCACAGCGATGAATCAATCAAGTGGAAGAAAGAACACACAGAAGAAAAAAAGAAGAGGAAAAATGTGGGCGCTGGCTTGAAAGTCGGCCACGTGTTTAGGTGGCGATTGAGGCGGTCGAAAGAAAAATAAAGGGAGGGGATGAATATATGCACGCACGCTTTACACTAGACGAAGACGCTTCCGCGAAGGCAGTGCGGAAGCTTCCTCCTGGTGAATATGCTGCATCACACCTGGCAGCCAGCTTGGACCGTGCAAGGGCTGGCGTGGCACTCCGTACCGCGACCGGCATTTGTCCGCTAGAGTACGGCCTGGCGGCGTGGCGACCGGCATCAACCGGTCCCGGCCGGTCACAAATGTATAAAAGGTGTCACAGGACAGCTTGGTCCGGCTTGAGCTGTGCAAAGCTCCAAACTTTCATCCACGCTTTGGACAGGCAAAAGAAATCTCTCTTTCATCACGCACAGAACAGACAATGGCTTTTACATCATCTCTCGCAATGAAGTGAGTGAGTGATCCATCACCGCACTGGAACTGAATGATCCAGGGATCAATCGCTGGGATCACCACATTTCCAGATGGTTTTGACTTGGGTCTCTCAAAGTCTCGAATTTCGCAACACCCATCTTCATGACAAGTTCCTGGGACTGGTTTCTAGAAAACGAATCCAGCCAAGCACAAAGTTATATCAATCAGTAAAGAACTTTGGCTTACCAGGAGACGGTCTTTTAGAAACGCGAATCAAACACGACCTCCACTCCACTTTATTTTACTTTTTGGATGTTCCCAGGTTCCACACTAACATGGGCGGCAGCGCATAATTTCCTTGCCTGCTTCAAAGCTGCCCACGTGAGTATTTGCCATCGTCGTATGTAACAAACGCGTGCGTAGCTTTCTCCGGCCCCACCGTACGTGGATACTTCCGCTCATACATACGCCGCTAGAGTCCAGACGGTTGTTGTAGAGTTATACAGTGGATGTTCCCACCGCCCAAAACGATCTCTCTCCCTCGCTTCACCATCACCACCTGGAAAAAACGAGAGCTTTAAGCTGTATAGCTATGGAATGGGAAGTTCTACCTTACGGTTTGGAAAAGCTTCGCTCAAAACTTTGAAGGCTTGTTCGTCTCTGGCAGCGTCGCCGAAAGCCGGTGCAACAATGCCGCCGTTTGCGATGTAGAAGTTCACGTATGAAGCTGCGAGACGTTCTCCGGCTGGTCTTGACACAGCACTGAGCTCCTGAGATTGAGTTTCGCCAATAACGTGAAAACAAAAGCCAATCGAGCGAACCGAACCTTGACACCAGCAGCTTCCTCCGGAGATCTGTAGAGCGGGCCTGGGATGTGGATCTTGACGACTTGCAGCGATCGGCCTCTAGCATCCTTGCACGAGGTGAGCAAGTTGAAAGCTTCCAGAGATCGTTCGTACTGAGGATCAGCTTCGTCGTCCACCCAAGAGAGTAGGACCACACCCGGCCTCACGAAGCAACACATGTTGTCAACGTGGCCATTTGTGTCGTTGTCGCCTATACAAATCGACCAGCAGATCATTTGTTTTGTTTCAAGCTTGCTGTAGTAGAAAAAGAAAAAGACTCAAAGTTTCATACCATGTAGTCCTCGTGGCAGCCAAATAACAGCCTCAACTCCCAAGTAGAGCTTCAGCTGTTCCTCTATCTCTTGCTTTGTCATGCTCGCATTTCGGTTTGGATTCAGCAGACATTCTTCCGTCGTCAAACAGGTCCCTTTGCACAAAAAGAATGAAAAGAATGAAATAAACACAAAAGAGTTACGAATCTTTTCATACCTTCGCCGTCAACATGAATAGCACCCCCTTCCAGGATCATTGTGTGCAAGAATCGTGGCAAACGTGCAACTTCGAGGATCTAAACTGGTCATTTAGCTCGAGCTAGCCGGATATAAATGCAAATCGTCCTCACCTTTCTAGCAACGAGGCTGTCGAATTCCCAGTTTCTGTAACATCCAGCAGTAGCTCCTGGAAGAACAAATGAGCTTCTAACAACAGTTCCATCAACACTGACCTCCCCACGCATTAAAAGTCCAGTCGATTCCAGCAGTACCACCACCGGCGCCTGGCAAACGTACTCTCTTCGCTACAAACTACAAGCAAAACGTCATCATCTTAAAGCAAAGAATTTGCTTACGGTTGGTCCCGTGTCCCGGAACCACGAGTCGCTCATGCTCATCTCGATCACACGGACACGCTCGGGTAGCTGGCTCCTCGCATTCTCCCACTGCAAATGGAAGAACAAGTAAGAACCGCTAAACAATCCAAGCCAAGCTCAACCTGAGCAACGCTTGCGCACACAGTCACGTCCTCGAATCGAGAAATCGCGGTAGCGACCTCGACGAAAGCAGCTTGCGCGGGCTTCGCATCGTCTCTCCAATTGTCAGTGCGTTCCTAGAAAGAAAAAAATGAGAAAAAAGAAAGCAAGAACACTAACTTACCGGCCAACCCATCCAGCAGCCAGAATGGTGCTCCCACTCGGCCGGCATGTAGTAGCCGAGATCCCGCGGCGTCGCCATTCCTTGTACCTCGAGCCCGCCCTAATTTTTACTAGGCTTCCCAAGCATCACTGTCGCGAACAGGGCCGCCACCTCCAAAGAATGGTCGCATGTAAGAATCATCGAAGCCTCTCCACAGACTATGCACCGCCGAGGTTGGATTGGCGAGAAGCATGCTGAGGCTGCTGCGCCGGAGAAAGATTGACGAGCCATCTTCGTTTGCTTCTTCGCAAGATTCGTCTTTCGGGGACGAAGGCTCCAAATGCCGTAAGTGGTGAGGGAGTAGTGTTGCAATCAGCGGTTTTGTGACAACTCCCACCACCTTATAGAAAACGAAGTTAGCAAGTCTTGTCAGTTCCAGGAAGAAAATTTTACGTACCAAGGTTGTGAAGAGTACTACTCCAGTTGTGCTATAGATCATGGTTGCATAGTCCGTGTTCATGGTTCCACTTGACGTTGAGAACTGAGAAAACAAAGAAAATGGTGATGATCTTTTCTGATTAGATGATCATTTCTGATTAGATGCTTGTGTACCTGCTGGTACGCAAGGGCGATGGAGACTGCTCCCCGCATTATCCCGGACCACCAAATAATCACCTGTGAAAGACAAATCTTGGTGAAAAAACTGGCTGTGGTACTTTTAAGCAGTAGTTTTCTTTCCCTTTGCTATCTCACTACGCTAGAATTACCTGGTGCCTAAAGCGCAGCTTCACGCTTGATGAACCACGGGCATAGTTGGAGATGGCGGACATTGGAAAGACAAATGCCGCCCTCCCGAGAGAAGTTAGCGCCAGCAGCATAGCACAACTCAGTGATGCGGCTCTGCATTCATTCCAGATTCAAGTTGTATTAGTGATCGAGTTCAGAATGAAAGTACTCCCACTTGCCTGACATCAACAAGTTGCCATATGTTCACGTTGAAAACATTTGTCCCCACGTACAAGAACATGAAGCTTTCGGAAATGGAAGAAAAGGTAGCGAAAGCATGCCTGCTCCTCCGGAGTTTTACGTCAGTGATAACAACAGGTTACTTTACCATGGCTCTTACTTGGATGTGATTTTGGAACTGCCAGAAACATTGTGCCAGCCGTAGTGGGACATGAAAATGCCGCAAAAGAAAACCGAAAGTATCCCGCTCCATTGGAATAACTGAGAATAAACAAATTATCGTTGAGGAAGAAACGATTATAGGCAAACCTCAGCCAGCATATAAGACAGATACGCCATCAAAGCCATCAGTGCAATCTCTTTATCCGTGGAGTGCCTGCACTGTGTGAACTGTGACGTAAACACACGCGCCAAAACAAGTGTAAAAACACGTACTTCCCGAAGTATAGACTCTTGAGAACATAAGCTGCGATCAGTCCAATCTAAGTTCATGAGAATTAGCTCAGGATTTAACAGAGAACTAACGACTTACCACAACTCCAAGCACGGTGCTCACTGAGAAGAGGTAGACAAATTCATAGATCATTCTCAGCGCTGCTTTTCCATCCAATCCAGCCTCTTCAAACCTCTGAACAGCTCGGAACAAAACAACAGCGGTTGCATCGTTAACCACCCCTTCCCCAAACACAAGACTGTAAAGTAGAGGAGTTTCGTCTTGGTGCAGCAACTGGCAGAGAAAGAAATCAGGAAATTATAAACAAGCACGACGAGACAAAACCTGTAAAGTTGCCACAGTGTCTGTCGCCGAGAAGATTGTCCCAAGAGCTGCAAACACCCAACAGCGATTGGAAGACAATGACATTAGTCGATCGATTTAGCCTTGCTCACCCAAGTAATCTCTCATTTGCAGATTTCCAAGTTTTAGCCGCGGAAACATGTACCTGCATCCTGCAAAATGCCAGTAGCGTGTTAAAGTTGAACAGCATCGCCATGGAAAAATCAAACCAGCTGTGACGATGGATGCCGAGATCAAGACACCGGATCCGCCAAAGAGCATGATCGTTCCAAAGTTGTGAAAGAATTGCTTCTTTTTCACTTGAAAGCTATGCCAAGAGAAAAAGAAAGATACGTGATCAAAGGGAGAGCCAGTTTACCCCGCATTGAAGATTATAGGAGGAAGAAGGTAGATGAAAAGCAATTGCTCGTCAAAGCTCAAAAGCTCGGCATTGTTGCTGAGGATATAGATCACGAAGCCGACAGCACAACCCTGATAGAAAAAAGATCATGTAGAGAAAAAGTTTCTATCAAGAGATGGTTTCAATAAATCATACCAGGATAATCGCAATGGTCGCTTGATTCAGCCAGCGATTCTCCTCGTAGTAATGGCCGATGACAATGCACACGCACAGCAACGATACGAAGAGCGAGATCGAGATCACGGCCGCACGCTGAGATCCTGCCGCCGAAATCTCTGCCGCTTTTGCCACCAGGAATTCATACAGCCAGCCGACATTCTCCATTCCCATCGCCGATCCAATCCCCGAGAAATCACAAACAATCGAGAGTGCCAGCAGAGGACGATTGGATAAGAATGCTGCGTCAAGATCCACAGATCACGCTCAAGCGATCGACATCCATCCAGATTTTACCTCTCCAGAAGCCGATCGATCAAAGATTGGCTCCTTGTTGCTCCCTTGGCGCTCCAGAGGACCAAAAGAAGGACCCTATCTCCGCTAAAGCAAAACCCCTAAAGAGTTTTAGCATGCATAGCTGGCGGGAAAGTAATTACCATCACAGCTGGCGTAAGTGACACCGTTGGAATTTGAAGGCCAAGATAAATTCTTCCAGAACAAAAGAACAAGAAATTTTTGTATGAACCCGGTGTGATTCGAACACACAGCCTTCTGATCTGGAGTCAGACGCGCTAGCCATTGCGCCACGGATCCTTAACACAAAATACAATGTAAACATCACCATAATAAAATTTCTTAATCGGTGCTAACGCGTTTATTGGAAACTCTTCCTTCTTCGCTGTGAAAGCCACCATCTCCTCCATCTAAAGAAACGATAGCAAGTTCCAGAGATGAAGAGCTCAACAAAGAGGCGGTAGCAACCCTCAAAACACGTACCTGGATCAGTCGACTATGTTGAGCATCTGTTTGTAGTGGGGAGCAGCATAAAGATCTTCTATGATCTTGTCGTGAAGATAAGAAAATGTCTCGTACGAGATCGCGAGCGAGTTGCCTCCTGGCTGGAAAGAGTCCCGGCAAGACGAGAAGATGAAAAAACGTCAAGGCCAAGCCATCAACAGTGGAAAATGTGTACCTTGCGAGAAGACCATTTACTTTGGTCATTGTTGTGGTGCGTCGCAGATGTATTCCTTGTCAAGAGGTACGTTAACTCCGCTAAAGCAAAAGCATGCAGGCGGGAAAGTACTCACCACAGCTGGTACAATGGAAATTGGCGTGCAACATAGATTCCACCAGATCATTTCTTCACGGCAAACCAAGTCGACTGATGACCATGGAAACCCACCCTGGAGTCGTGTCCTTTCACAAGCCTTCTCTTCTTCAATTTTGCGAGCTATTTCTCTGCGATTACAACAAAGATTTTAAAACCTTCTGATTGTTAAGAGAACATATTACCGTGGTCACGAACTTTCAGAACTTTGTTCAGAAGCAGACTTCGTGAAACTGCGGCCAAAAGAAAAGCATGTCAGAGACAAAGAAAAGAAACTAAGAACCTTGACCTTCCGTTGCGCTTCGTTCACGGGTACCTGCACTATAACGTTCTCGCTTTCTTCCCGGAGAGATGCTGCATTCTCATTGCGCTGTAAACAAACCTCTAGTTGCGATGGACTCATCAGTTCATGTTATTCAAGAAAGAAGTATCGTCGGCTATGTACATAGCAGAGAGAAGCTGGTCCAGGAACAGCTTCTCACAAAAATGAGGCAGTAGCAACACTAGTTAGTAGCCTCAAAACAAGTAGCTGGATGAGTCGAGCCCGTTACGTACGTCTTTGGAGAGCATCGAGCGTGCTTCCATCACAGATCGAGGAGGCTCCAAGTCTTTTTCATGAAGAGAATTCCCTTGCAACCGCTGCATCTGCGATGCAAAGATGTCGTCCAAAACCTTCGCAAAGCAGTAAAAGAAATTAAATGACATGAGCTCACACGACTTCGAAAGTTTTTAAAACATACCCCAAGAGCAAAGCACGAGGATTTGTACCACGACCTGTTCTCCTTTCGGTTCTCCAGAAAATGAAGCACGTCCTGAAAAGAAGAGCGCGTCAAAAACACAAGCGAAAAAAACGAGCTGAATACCTTCGCCATCCGATCCCAGTAACCTCGAGAAACGGCAACGAAGACTCGTGTAGTAAACACTTCGTGAAGATGTGAGATTGTTTCAAGAAGCTGAGTGTTGAGATGTTGCATGCGTTCTCGCATATCGGATTCTCCAGCGGCTTCTCTTGTATCTTCCAAGATCCTTTTCAGCTTGGTGCTCGGATGAAGCCGCGCCTGCAGCAGGAAGATGTAAACAATGAAAGTAACGAAAACATCTTACGTTATCTGCTAGCTTTTCCACAATTGCTTGGAGTAGACTCCTGTACTTCGTTCGCAATGCGACCGTCACTTCGTTCAGCCGCTCCCCGAAGACCATCTTTCCATGAGAAGCACCGTCAACAGGGAGGCATGCAACCCATGCTTTCAATTGCGTCTCTAGCTTTGGACGCAATGTGTCCAACAACCGCTTTATTGTGTTGAGAACAACTCCGAGCTGTTAAATTTATGATAGTCATTAGGATCGAGCCAGCGAATACGCCACTGAAATCTAGAATACTTACCTGGTTAGGCACACTATATAGTGTCAGAGACCTCCGCCTTGCTAGCTTCTGCATGTATTGCAAAGTGAACTTCTTTGGTACCATCACTTCTTTCAACGGCACAAGAACATCCGCGTAGTGCTTCTCCAATGCAGTTAAGACGGCCCTTTCGACGTCAGCCACCGCCTACATGAAAGAAAAACATTGAGAATAGATTTAAAACATAACAGTCGGGTCACCCATACATTCTCTAGAACAAATGTGTACTCTGGCCAGCGGCTGATAATCACGTCATACTCACTTAGTGTTTCTTTCATTCTTTCATAAACCTCCTCAACGAAAGGCGCAGTACCGTGTTGAGTTGTTACACCAGCTAGGCGCACCTGCAGGAATTTGTCAGATACGCCGCTAGTATGAAAAAGCGCTTAACTTTATCGAATTTGCAGACTTCCAATAATTGAAGTCTTTTTTCTTGAATCCACAGAACAATGTAGAGGTGAAACAGGTCTTTTGCATCCACACCTCCCTTGACAGACCTGCAATATTCCTTACATACACTTGTCAGAAATCCTGCTCGTAAACATTTCTTACTTTACACCCCATGACGACAAGTCACGCTGGAAGTTAGCCGTCGCGATAAGTAGATCTGCAACAGGTGGCGATGGGCTCGAAGGGGGACAGGCGACCAGAAACGCTCGGAGCCGATTGCAAACCTCCACATTGTAGATGCTCGCCGTTATGTTCGGCAAGTCAATTGAGCTGCAAACAATAGCTTGAGGCTGCTACAACGAAAGTTCAGAGTCGAGTACCTTGGAAGTACATGTTGGTTGTGGATTTCCATGTCCGTGGCAATCTCTGCGCTAACACAAGAGCACAGATTTTTCATTTTAAGGTATGCGGTGGCAAGTGACAGGGGATCCGCCAAAAACCCGTCATTTGTAGTCGCAACAAATTCATCAGTTTCCGCCATGAGTCGCTTGCATCTTTTCCTCGCAGCAGTCTGATCAGAAACCACGTAAGAGAAAGAAAATCATCTCTAGTTCTTGCCTGGAAGTAATTACGAAGCGTCGCTTGCGCTTCTGTCGAGAGTATGTCGTTCAGCAAGGTAAAAACTTGCACTGCCGGTGAGAGACTGGGTGCAGCTACACCAGACGGCGGCTGGAAAAAATCTAGAAAACCAGAAGGTGATGACTCGTCGAGAGACTTGTAGTTCTCAAAAACAAAAGCCAGAAGTTGGGAAAGTTGTTCTTCAACATCTGCAAAAATCCGTTTCTAGCGAGCAATAATCGTAAGTACTCAGTTCTTTTGTACAACGCGATCTTACCTCCTGTCGATTAAGCTCACTCTCATCCCTCGCAGTGATAATAGGAATCAACAGCTCATAAATCAATGATAGGCAATCTTCGGTAGGCGTGGCCACGTCCATGACACATGCAAGGTACCTGAAGGACTCCATTCAGGCGTCTCAGTTTGAAATCGAAAGCGTACCTCAGTTTCGTGTAAATGTCTGAAACACCGTAATACACAGCAAACTCGCACAGAAGCCATTGCCAGGACCCATACAATCGTAGCCTTCGCCGTCCAAATTGGTGCACTTTCATAGCAACCTCCAAAACAATGTCGTAAGCGACAGTCTCCCCTACGGCACCCCACTGAAAAAGATAAACGCACATAAGAACGCTACAGAAAAACAGCAAGATTTAGTCACCTTTCCCGGGCCTAGTTCCGACGATGTAGTAACATAGCTGATAAACAGCTGCAGTTTTCCAACGCATTCATGATCGGGCTCGTTATAGATTGGCCACCACCGCACACGTTCGCTCTGAAACATTCACGGGTTACTTGTGTTTGAAACATAAAAAAGGAATACAATACCATCTCATCCGTAGCTGAGAGCTGAGCAGTAGCACGACCAAGTAAGGATCCTTTGCAGTCAGAAACTTCGACTAGCAACTCATCCGCTGTAACTTCCGGGTGGCTGTTAGAAAAAGAAAGAACTCAAATCAGTCTCTTTCTTTTCTCCAATTCGAAATAAATAAATCCACTTACAAGATGGACACTTCTCCACCACCAGGTTGCACGCGGACAGCCTCACTTTCGGGAGAGCTTCTCAGCTTCAGCACGCAGAAATACGAATCTGCGAGCAAATGTGGTTCGTTGGGAAAAGACGCATGAAAAACTTCACCTTGTGACTCTAGGAGCGACGCACTGCGCAAGGTGTTTACTCCAGCTTTCAACAGCCCGGAAACCTGTCTCATATACTGTGCTCCAGTATTCAAGTAGCCGCTGTTTTGCACGTTTGACGGCCCTTGCATGCTGTTTGCTCGCAACGGTTGACGAGGAATGACGCGAATCTTCCTCACTGCCCCCCAGCCCGACCAAAGTTTGTTAGAAGAGCGTCTACCCACAGAATAAACGTTGGAAAAGGTTTCGGCGAGAGATGGAAACTGGCATCCGGAACGCATCCTCATAATCAACTTCACTTTACGAACTGCTCCCAACCCAGCACAGAATTGTGCAGATTAGAATGCTAGCTCACACCTCATTCCTCCCCATCCTCCACCCTTGGAAATGACAAAAAGGAAATGAAATCACGTACCTTGCACTTTGACTTTCCCAACAGTCGCTTTTGCTTTCGATCCCGATCGAGCGTCCACATCATATTGCGACTCCTTGGCCGACGATTCCCCGTACGGCTGTAGAAGAAGTTGTTGCAATCTGAGAAAACCATGAAAAGCATGAAACCAAAGAAGAAAAAGGAAAAGCATATTACCCGAAACTTGTCCGGAGTAGAATGCACTCGTCACGCAAAAACTCGGGAGCCTCGGCGCAGCCTCGAGACCAGGCATGAAGACACAGGCGAATGCAAGCCTCGTAGGCGATGATCGCTTGCCATGCAGCGTGGCCACTGTCAAGGGTTGATATCTTTGTGCTCTCAAAGTCGGAAGAAGCTGCTGTTGGTGCTGTTGTAGTCGCTGTTGCCGCTGCTGCTGTTTCTCCTCCATCGTAATTCACTCCTCCATCGAAGTTTACTGCTCCTCCATCGAAATTTACTGCTTCTCCGTCGAAATTCACTGCTTCTCCATCGAAATGTATTGCTCCTCCATCAAAGTTTACTTCCGTGGACGCAGACTCTTCTTCTTGGTCTTCTTCTTCTACCTGGTCAAGTGCCGAGATCTTTGCATTCTCAAACTCGGAAGAAGCAGTGGATGTAGTGGCTGCTGCTGCCGCAGTAGCCTCGCCGTCGAAGGTTACATCCGTGGACACATACTCGTCTTCTTCTTCCTCTACCTCGAATGCCGAATCCAGATCCTCCCTGAAGCTCTCCACCTGGCGAACCCACTGGAGAGCGCTGTGATCTAGCCCTTCCGTGAACATCCCTAGCTAGCTACGATTTACCGCTTGGCGCGCCGCGGTGCCGTCCCTCTCTCCTCTCCCCGAGCGAGGGCTTCCGGCGTGACCTAAAAATGAGGAGCCGACAAAGCAGCTCAAGCATTTCAAATGCCCCATGCCACGTGGCATAGTTACCGTTGGCTACAGTTTCTAGATTTATTTTAAACAAAAAGGGTATTCACCACAAACCCTAATCCATATCTATGGGTGTTCTTGTGCCATTCAACTCTAGAAACAATCTAAATCATGTTTTGATCAACAATCGAAGGTAACTATTCAGGCTGCCATTCAAACTCTAGAAACAATCTAAATCATGTTTATCGGAGGTAACTATTCAGGCTAAGCAAGCGGCTTTGTAGGGTCAGAAGGAGGCGAACATACTGAGGGAAGAGTTGAAAGTAAGAAAGGCATGGTTGAATCTCCGTTGTGAGGCGGCAGCTCTCCGGAAGAAGAAGGTGGCTCGAGCTCAAAAGAAAGCTTGACGAATTGTCCAAGTTCCTGGAAATGAGTAAGTTGAGCTCACATCTCTTCAGTATTGCAGTTCGGATCGACCCTTGGAACGACATCGTCCAACAATTCCAGCGATCTCCAGCGGTGGGCCTGGGCGAGAATGCGATGAGCACAGATCTGGGAGGGGGAAGGCGCATCCACGAGGAAAATCGTCTCCAGCGGCCTCGAGGTTCCTTGCTAATCTGGTCATAGAGATGTATGGAAAGTGCGGGCGCTGGAAATCTGGTTCTTTCTCGTGGAAGATTGCGATCGCGGCATTTGCCCTTGCTACTCTTTTTCGAGCATCCAGTTATTTCTCTTGGCAGCTATCAATGCCGATCCGGCGGAGATCCACGCGCTAGTCGTCGCTGTGGCCTGGCCTAGCCTGGATCACCTGTGCCAAGAGCACATTCGAGCCTCATTCGGGGACATTCCTTCGAGTGTATTCGACAGGGATTGAGAAGAATGGTTGGAGCTGCACTAGCATCGGGCTTTTCCCCACTCTTTCATTCTCCAGCGCTGATATTTGGCTCGACACTGGCCTCGTCTAGCTTCCCAGATCTCCCCAGGAGATCCACCAAGCATCTTAAGTGTTCCATGATCGTGGACATGCTGTAGTCTTGGGCTATGGACGACAAGTAGCTCTTGGCTTTTCCCATCATCCCGAGATGACTGCAGGCAGAAGAACTCGCTCTGATCGCAGTAGCTTGCAAGATGCAAAGGAGGGAGAGCAAGAACAAGCGCACCAAGCGTTGCAAAATTTTTGATTGGGTCTCTGGCTGTGGATTCGAACCTGTGACCTTGCCAATATATTTCTTTATTCCAGCAAGATATCCGGCCATCAGGTTCCCGTCCAAATCGGACACTAATTTCTTCTTAATATAAACAGCCTTATAAAACATTCCCACGGGCTTAGAAATGAGCGAGAGCTTGCGCCGTTATGGTGAAGGTATGATATCCTTTCTGCGGTTGTCAGGCTCAAGAAAGAAACCATTATGGAATGAAGATTTCACCACTGAATCCCTGGGATAACCTACTTTTTCTTCTTCTGAGAAACAAGGTTTGCTGCAACAGAAATCAATATCAACATCCAACGATTGAATGTCCGAAGATGGCTTGTTTGAGCATTGAAGATTAAATTGATCCAGGCACGCTCTTGATTAGCAGCAAAGTTAAGAGTCCAAGGCTGGAGGTACTTCTCTGTTCTCTGTTTCAAATCCTGGGGAGCTTGAGATTTCATCAAGGGACTTCCTTGTCGTGTTCTATCCAAGTTTGATGCTTGTTCCTAGCAGCAACAAGACCAAAGATTTGAAACAATCCATGAAATTTCAAGTCACACCCTGTGTGAAGAAGAGGGGGCAATGCATGGAAAGTACTTGGTTGTCCTTCACAAGAGTATCTAGAGCAAAAAAGCGAAAGATGAACTGTGGGAAAGCAATGCTTTCACGTATATCCCTTGTGCCCTGCTGATCAATCCAAAAGCCACAACACTGGTGGTAGTGCAGCAGCTCCTCCTTTTGCTCTCTCCCCTACGCTCCTCGACGATGTCTTCGCTGCGACCACGAAGCTGTGAACTTCGCTACCAACTCGAACGATGTTACTAATCCCTGGAACTTTTCTCACTCGCCTCGACCTCATCAGGTTCCAGATCATCGAGCGAGACCTTGTCCCACCTCCCAATGTGTAATCGACAGAGTACATGTTTGAGAGACCAGTATTGTAGCACGGCTCCAGCACTCTCAAAGATCTTTGCTGCGACTCTCTCAACACAATCAGCCATGGAGGAGGCAAGCTCCCATCCAGATCACGACATCTGGAAGGAATGGCATCGAGTTTGACGAGCTCCTCCGGACTCAAAGTTCTCCTGGATCAACCCAGGACGTCGATCATGCAGAAATATCCCTCTCCTCGCCACCATCCCAAAGTATTGGCTGATCAAGACCAAGTGTTCCCAGCTCGGCATGGCTGCACGAAGTTAAAACGCTCTGGAACATCAACTCGTCCGGCTTGACACCCTCAAGATTCATAAGCTGGAAGACTTCCACTGCTCGATCATAGTGCCCGTTTTGAGCGTTGGTCGTCCAGGAAACCAAGGTGCGCATCTTCATGCTCTCAAACATGCTCCTGGCGGCGCTCAAGTTGAGACTTGCATGAGAGCTATCCAGCAGACAATGAATGGTCTTGCGCAGGATCTCGTGAACGGCCTTGTCAAAATGCCCATTCTCGCAAATGCGAGGATCCACGGTACTGGATTCTTCTCCGGGATTTAACTGAAGCTGTTCTTCGTGAGGGCGACGAGGCCTTGGTGGCTGACATCATCGCCGTCCATGCACCACGTCTTCATCCGGCATGAAATCAAAGATTTCTTTGGAGGTGGCCAAATCCCCCTCTGGTATTCACTGCTGGAAGGGAAACCCATGGAACGTCCTGTCATTCTGGGCAGTAGATTCGTCCAGGACACGAGATCCTTGGCTGGCGTTTTTGCCCAAGGTCGATTTCGCTGCCACAATTTGCCCCTGGTGCGAGAGCGCCATTATCGAGTTCCATGGCGCTCTGAGACGCAATCAAACATACTCTCACTCTCGGATGCAGGATGCTGCCACAATAAGCTATTTTTGGCCACCTGGATCCAGTATCCAACTTCTCATACCTACCCCCATAGTCTGAATATGGAGAAGTTTAAGGTGCTGGAGGAGCTGCTCTGTAACGGGATCCGGGACGATGCCATCCCATAATAGCAAACAGGGGATCATTTTACAAACGTGGGTTTGTAGCTTTTCCCTCCCATGCTTACTTTTGGACGTGTTGTTTGGGTGGTGGGATGGTTTCTCCATCTCCCGACCAGCTCAAGCATGTTTGTGCAGTTGCTCGCCAGAGTGAGTTCCCAACAAATCCAGTAACGAGGCAAACCAGGAAAAACTTTAACTCCACGTACCATTTGATGTTGGTTTAGAACCTGGGTTTGTAAAATATTCACTACGTATGGGACAGTGTCATCCTGGATCCTGTTAGACAGGAGCTCCTCCAGCGCCTTAAACTTCTCCATATTCAGACTATAGGGTAAGCATAGGGTAGTTGGTGCACTCAAAGAATGGATCCGGGCAGCCAAAAATAGCCCCAGGGCCAATGTTGCTTGGTCAGCTTGGGACTCTCTTTGACAATCAGTATCATCTTCTCTGTCACCCCTTAATGGATTCATTGGGAAGTTGCTCCGGCGAGCAACTGCACAAACATGCTTGAGCTGGTCGGGAGATGAGAAAGCAATACACATGGTAGAACACCACCCCAAAAGTAAGCACAGAAGGGAAAAGCTACAAACCCAGGTTTGTAAAATTCCTATTCGGTACATATAGACAGCACCCTCCAGCACCTTAAACTTCTCCATATTCAGACTATAGGTGTGCATAGGGTAGTTGGTGCGCTCAAATACTGGTTCAGGCAGCCAAAAATAGCCTCAGGGCCATATTTGGCGCGGGGGGATAAGGGCGGCGTGCCGGAGGTACTCCGACGATCAAGCCCTGCACGGTGCTTTATCCATATGTCCCGGATGCAATGGTGGATGCATGGGGCCGGAGCGATTGGAAAAAAACGGACATGCGGTGAGTGGAGCTAGGTGGGAACAAACAAGGGGTCAAGAAAGAAACATTTGTAAGAGAAGGCGTGGGAATGGAGCGCCCCATGCACACAGACTAGCGGCTTGTAAAAACAAGGCAGTGGCGAGCTCTGGTCAGGGCTCGACAGAGTGGTGGGTGTGCAGCATCTGTCACCAACACTCGGACAAAAGAAAGCCGTGGCTTGTCACACTGTCGAGAGCATATGCAAACGGTATAGCGTGCTTACACACCGGGCTCACACAGCGCATGTCAATGGTAGACATGACCATCGATGTCCACAGAAAGTTCAATGCAATTGCAAAGGGTGGCATCTCAAGTCCGATGCTTTTAGAGAACCCCATTGTCGATTGGAGAGGTACACACGAGAGCTCAACCTCTTGCTCACGGGAGTACATCCCGGCTTGCAGTAGGTGGCCAGCGTGGTTGGTGTAATCTCTTCTGGTGCTGCACATCCTTTTGGTAACTTGGAACAGTTTGGTGGCACATCCTGGTCCGTGTTCTGGACTTGCTCCAAACCTGGGTGATTCAGGGCCAGATTTTGCCATCTCGCTTTTCCTGGGGACATTAACTTGGTTTGTGGTATTGGAGATCCGGATGCGCAACCATGAGGGCTTAACCACTTGCTCGCAGGAATACATCCTGGCTTGCAGTAGGTGGCCAGCATGGTTGGTGTAATCTCTTCTGGTGCCACACATCCTTTTGGTAACTCGGGAACAGTTTGGTGGCACATCCTCGTCCGTGTTCTGGAGTTGCTCCAAACCAGGGTGATTTCTTGGTCAGTGGGAGCTCTTCAGGGCCAGGCATGGCATTTTGCCATCTCACTTTTCCTAGGGACACCAACTTGGTTTGTGGTATTGGAGATTTGGATGCGCAACCATGAGGGTTCAACCTCTTGCTTGCGGGAGTACATCCCAGCTTACAGTAGGCGGCCAGTGTGGTTAGTGTAATCTCT